AAATCTGATTTGATGCACATTACTTTTGTGTTTATACAAAAGAGTTTAATTTCATTGTCATTAACGATCCATACATAAAACAGAACATACATGTTTATATGCCTACCTTTTCATAATAGAGAAAATAATGCACACCTCTAGTGAATAAAAAATTGTAATTTAAAAAATCGAAGAAAAATTCTACTTACTCTTGGTACTTAATTTAGGTGATTAACTTAAACTAACTCTTTACATCGCAAATGAATATAGCAACTGACGAAAGGTTCTAGAATAATAAATATTCTCTTTCAATTATTGAAATCGAACTCGAATAAGCTGAATTTATCACAAATGACATAAAACATGATCACTAAAAATATAAAAACAAAGAGAAAAATTGAAAACCACTAAACCAATTCAAATAATCTAGCTTCGTTATAAATTAAAATAGTGACCAAGCACACTTTGTCATGCAGATTAAAGAAGCGACTAATTGAGAACGTTGTTATTAAGATGTAATCAAGTGAATACATATTTGTCTTACGTATCCAAAAATAGTATTATGTTTTATATCAATATTGTTTGGGTGCTATTTTAATAATTATATACTAAACATATATTGTTCTTGCAAATTCACCTTATTTTGTTGTATCTATTTATTCAGTAAAATTATTGATAATATTAAAGTGTGTTTGTTTCATGTAATTTCTTTTATGAATTTTTTTTCTATTTTCCGGTTTTTAATTCAAACAAAAAAATTTGATTATTATAAAACCAACTACGAATGAAAGCCTACATAAAAGCCAACTACGAATGAAAGGAAAACGTACATAATTTTATTTTGCAAAACAAATAATCCTTGGTTGAAAGAAAATTACAAATATATATTTTTTGAAAGAATACATATAATATATATGATTAATACGATATTAAATATACAACAACACACAAACACGGAGTTTTACCCAAAAATCACCCTGACGGATTTTAATTATCTGTCAGATACATTTTCAGAAAATTTTACGGATCTAGTACCCGGCTATAAATAAGACCCCTCAACCATAAACATCACCACATCAATTCCTCCTATATTTACTTCACCAGTTCGTTCGATCTTTCGTTGTAAGCTAATTTTTTAATATATAATATTTATTTTATATATGATTATTTGAAAAAAAATATTGTACTAATTATTTTCTATTATTTTTTGTGGTTGTAAAATTAGAAAGCGGAATCATACGTCGAGACATTTTTGCTGATACGGTGATAATATAAAATTATATTATTTAAATTATTTTTAATTTTTTATTAGGTTATATTTTAATTCATATATTATTTATTTAATTAGCCATATTTCAACTATTATTTTTACAGATATAAGACTATTTATCTTTTAAACTCTCAGAATGAGCGAATTTTAACTATTGTTTACTATGATGGAGAAATTTGGAAAGATGAAATTGGAGTTGTGTTCACATTAAATCATTTTGTTAAAATATCTTTCAAGAGAAATATAACTTTTGAGGGCTGGAGGAAGGTTCATGTTGAAAGTACTAGAAGATTGTCCTCGCTTCAGTACAGATTTCCAACATCGGTGTTTCTGTTAACTTATACAGCGTTCGAACTATCGAACGATGATGATGTTGCAATTATAGTTGATTCTCAAAATCATTATTTAGACGCCGATACAGAGATGTATGCAAAGTTTGTTGAAGTGTGTGTTGTTCGTAGTATGTCATTATGCTCCCACTATGGGATGGCTCAACAAGTTGATCAAGTTGACAACCCAACTACAGTAATGTGTAATGATTTTAACGCCATAATGGGAAATCCGCATCATGGTGTCATCCCATCAAGTTCAATGGGGAGACTTTCATCAGTAACTTCTTACGATCTGTACCGAGGTGGGTCCACAAACAATTCGTATGGAAACATCGCGTCCAGTTCAAGGGGAAGACATTCATATGCTAATTTCTTTGACCTGGATATGTAGATGTCATCGACACAACAATCTATGCAGTTTTCATTTGACACAATAGTTTCAAGCTTCAAGGAGAGGCATTCTACTGCGAGCTTCTTCGACCTCAATGTCGAGATGCCTTCAAGTTCAAGGGGAAGACATGCAAGTACCAGGTTATTTGACTTAAATGTGGAAAGCATGGAGGAACCCTCATCTCCACCAAAAAACCGCTTTGTGGGCCAGGTGCGGATGGTGCTGAGACTGGACTATTCATTCACCCAGAATCACAACAGTTCAACATAGACTCCGATGATGATGATGATGTAGATGAAGTTCCCACAAATGTGGTACACACTGAACCTCTAGCACACATGTATGAAGTTGACTATGGAGCAATGTACGGGCTAGAATTTGCGGATATGCCTAACGTCGGTGACTACGAATTTAACTCATCAGTCATTGATGGTGAGTTATATTTAGGAATAGAGTTTCATGCAAAGAAGAATCAATGATGATAATTAAGAATTACAATATTTATAATTCTGTTCAGTCTAAAGTCGACTGCTCTACGACCGAAAATTATGTCTTCCATTGTGTCCAATGTGATAACGAATGCAATTGGATGGTTCGCGTATCGAAGAGGAAGAGGAAAAACAATGTATGAGAACTAACGATATACAACGGTCCTCACACATGTTGTGCTGGAGGGATCAACCAAGATCATCCCAACTTGGACTCCGACATGATCTGCCAAGCCATCATGCCCATGGTAAAAGCAAGCTCCCATATAGCTATTGTTGTATTGATTTTAGCTATACAATCGCAGTATGGGTATATCATCTCATACAGATTCTTGGTATGTTTTCCTCCGAAACTTACGCTCACATGTTATCACGAGGGAAAAAATTTGTATCATTTCAGACTGCGGAGCTGGGATCGAAGCAGTAATGACTTCTTTGGGTCCAATGTTGCAACCACCCTATTGGAACATATGTACTGTATCCGACACATTGTTTCAAACTATCATAGAAGGTTTAAGAAAAATGATGAGCGCAAATTACTTGTGTGCATAAGTATGTCAGAATGTTATTTTTTTGTCAATCATTTTCATTTTTTATGGAAACAAAGTTAGTAAGTTATATATTTGATGCTCATGTTACGAACTACTACCTCAAACATTTGAGTTCATACTTCAAGAGTTGCGGAGAAAGAACGATGAAGGATACGATTACATCAGTCTCATCAATAAAAAAATGTGGACAAATGCATATGATGATGGATATCGATATAGACACATGACGACCAATTTGGTTGAGGTAATCAATTCAACCTTAAAGGGGCACGTCATTTACCGGTAACGACTTTGGTCAAAACGACATATTTTTGTTTGGGATCACTTTTTGCGAAGCTCGGGGGATAAGCTCAAACATGGATACAAAGTGGTCATGTCTATCACCCTATATTAGTTACAGATCTACAAAAAAAAATTGTTGCATCAAATGAAATATCCGTAACAAGCTTCTCTAGAACGCATGAATTGTTTCTTGTCATAGAGATTTTGCGACCTCTTCAAGGGATTCAAGCTAACTCGTTCAGAGTTAATCTACGAGACAGATGGTGCGATTGTGAGGTTTTTCAAGCTCTGAAGTATCCATGCTCTCATGTCGTAGCAGCTTGCTCGCATACCCGTGAAGACTATAATCGTTTTGTGGATCCCGTATACGTACTATCAGAAGTGTTTAAGGTATATGAATTTGAGTTCCCCCCATAGGTAATGACAAATACCCTAATGAGGTTCAGAATTGGCTTCCGATTGTACTTGATCCGTCTTTATTGAGGGACCGAGGTCGTCCAAAATCCACTCGAATTCATTGTGATATGGATATTCGAGAAACATCTAGACAAAACAAAAGATGTGGCATTGTAGAAACCCATAACACAGTAGAAAAAATGTCCATATATTTTTTCATTAAGTAACCGTTGATGTTGTGCTTGATGTAGTTGTTGTTTATGAAAGAATATTTTTTGTAATTTAATTTACATTTACTTTAAGTTAATGTCATTTGATCATCACCGATTAATTAAACACTAAAACGATACAAGATAAGGGATTAAAATTCACTAAATAATAAACTCGTTCGCTTCAATTAAGTAATAAACAAAATAATAAAATCATTCGCTTGAATTAAGTAATATACAAAATAAATTAAGTCATAAAAAGTAAATAATTAATAAAAATTAAATATATGAAGTAAACCCCAAGTGTATGAAAAAAATCCTTCAGCATAATCGTGCACTCTCCGCACGAAATATGGAATGTGTGTGTCCCCAGTCTCCAGCGCTCGACCAATGCAAAAATCAGGTTGGATTCTACGTTACAGTGCCCTTCGTATCTAGCGACGTAATCGAATCTAACCTCGACTAAATACGACCAGACACGGGTTGATCTTAAGATTACGGATGAATGGATCTAATATACGGTCTCTCTCCTAATTTAATAAATATTATAGAAATTAATATATAAACTAATATTAAACAAATAAATAAATAAAATAATACCAATAATTAAAATTAAAATATAATTTAAAAATATTACCGTATCAACAAAATACCTCGAGATATGATGTCTATCTAAACGAAACAGATTGCCTTTAATTTTATAACTGTAAAAAAATAATAAATAATTAATATAACACAATTTAATAAAATATTAAAATATTAATTTATTATAATATAATATAATATATTACCATCTAAATAAAATTTGATCGAGTTTAAGGTTTAAGAGGATTTAAGCTTTGATATGGTGTGAGAGTATTTGATGTGTTTGAAAGAATATTGGAGGATATATTTATAGAGTTAGAGATGAGTTTGGGCGGATGAGAGTAATTAATTAGAGGAGTACGAATGATTGAGAATTAAATGAAATGCATGAATGGTGATCTATGCTTTTTTTACAAGGATATTAGGTCGATAAATTTTTTTAAAAAAGTGCTGACAGGTAATTAAAACCTGTAAGTGTGTTTTTTTTTTTTGGTAAAAACGTCCACAAACACTGGAGCGCATAGTCAAAATCCTTATTTGAGAGTTGAGTTGACACCCCCTCAATTTCTCTCCCTTTCCTTTCTCTTAAGTTTTAATTTTAATTTCATTTCATTTTTCTTGTTCCGCCACTGTTGTATGCGCCACCACCACATCGCCGCCGTGATGGTTTCTTCTAGGGTTTGAAATCTTCTCTTTTCGATTATTGTTTCATCGTTCAACTTTCCGAGCTGGATTCTCTCTCTTTCCTTAGGCGAATCTCCATGCGCCGCTGGTTCAGCGGCTTTGTTGATTAAATCACTTCTCCTTCTTCTTCTGTCTCGCTTTATTTACTCGATCATTTTCAAGAACAAAGGCTAGGGTTGTCCCCTGGGGGGGGATTTTGTTTGTTTTTAATTAATTTTTCATCCGAGGGCTTTGTTTGCTTCTTTTTTCCATTTGGGGGATTTGGATGGCATTGGGCGATCTGATGACGTCACGGTTTTCGCAATTGTCTTTAGCGGTATCCAATCATGTCACGGACGGCAGCGGTGGCGACTACCATGAGGATGCTTCTTCTGCTGACCTGGCCTCTCAAAGGAGGGATTTTGATACTGCATCCACCAGCAGTTACGCCAATGCCGCTGCCTCCTCCGCCACAGTGTCTACAAGCATGGCTTATTTGCCTCAAACTGTGGTCTTATGCGAGCTTCGACATGCTGCCTTTGAAGCTTCTACCCCTACTGGACCCTCTGATAGTGGCCTTGTCTCCAAATGGCGTCCCAAGGATCGAGTAAGTCCTTTCCTTTTAACCTCCTTTGTTCCCCAATTATTCAGTTGATCTGATTGATTATATCTAATCACAGGCTAAAGAGGAAGAATGAGAACTTATTTAGACGCAGTAGCAAAATATGGTTGTTCTGCACGTAAATAGAATTTTCAATTGCAATTCGAGAGTATGTAAATTTTGAGTTGATGCATAGGTTGTCAGGAATGATATATGTAGAACATTAGTATTGCTTATGCTGATCCATATCCATGTGATGTGACTTCCTGTATATAAGTAACATGTGAATATGGCTTTAGTGCATTGAGTAGAAGATTACAAGGGGGGATTCTCAGATGTGCTAGCCTATCATTATGGAATTATTAGCGTCAATTAAGTCTCAGTGAAATTCTTGAATTTGGTATGAGCACAGGGGAAATGAAGGTTTTGTGGTCTTCACTTAATTCTAGATAAAAGCATCAGAGAAACATGGAGTTCGATATTTTGTGCAATAAGTAATCTGCTGTTGTTTTTTCCATTCTAGTTTGTCCTTTGCACAATATTAAGCAATTTTCTTTTATGTGACTGAATAAGATCTTAGATAATAGGATGTTTGTTTGTGATATATATTTCAAATAATCCATAAAGTTTCCCATTATTTGTCATGATATGGGATGCTTGACCATATTTGCTTGTCTTTCAACATTATATGCAGATGAAGACAGGATGTGTAGCTCTAGTTTTATGTTTAAATATTAGTGTTGACCCACCTGATGTAATAAAGATATCTCCTTGTGCAAGAATGGAGTGCTGGATTGGTATGTTTTCTGATTTAAATATATCTTCTTGTTTTTGCATGTTTGTGTTTAATGTTTCTTGATGCTTTGATCCTCGTGGTTATTTTTATTTAAGAAATCTTTAATAAGGTTTTTTATCATGGAAATGAATTAAATTCTAGTGGGTTTCTTTGATCATGCATGAATTTCTAATATTGGAGTTTGATCATACAAGAGTATTAATGACAATATACTTCCAACTACTCTCGTATAACCTTTTACTTGCTGAGAACCAAATGAGTACCTCCACTCACCCAAGGGTAAATATTGGAATACTATGTAATTATTAGTATGATTCATTTGAGAGCTTTAAAAGAGCTTTGAGGTTTTTCAAGGAGGAAAATAAATATTGAGAAGCAGGAGTACCTACCATGTTTTTACTATGTTATGGCGTTTGAGTAGTAGTTCCAAACAACCAACAGAAAATTGGATAGAAGTTGATAAGAACTTTTTAGTATGGGGGTTTTGATACCATTGCTTTTAGTGTGATTACTTCTGCATTGAGGTGGTATTTGGCATGAAGTTACAAGAACGCTTATCTATTTATCATTTCTCTATATAACACATGTACTAGCCTTTGCTTCACTTGGTTTCCGTGAAGGAGGTGCAGGAAGTCGGAATCCTAGTATTGCAATTAAATAAAATAAGTTTTCCGTTGTAATTTCTTTTCCACCATCCTTTCCCTGTTGACCAAGTGATGTAATCTTTTATTCATTTTAGTGTTTTAGTCAGGGAAGTCAGCTTGTTCCACCATTCTCTTTTTTTGATTGTTGGCAGATCCTTTTTCTATGGAACCACAAAAAGCTCTTGAATCCATTGGGAAAAACCTAAGAGACCAATATGAGAGGTGGCAGCCCAAGGTGTGGATATTTTTTCATACCTTTTGTTCAGGTTAGTCTATCAAGTTTATAATCTAAATTCTTATTGAGTGTAACCAGGCTCGCTGCAAGGTTGAACTTGATCCTACGGTGGATGAAGTGAAGAAACTTTGTAATACATGTCGTAGATATGCCAACTCAGAACGGGTTCTATTTCATTATAATGGACATGGTGTTCCAAAGCCAACTGCAAATGGTGAAATCTGGCTTTTCAATAAGGTGTTATTTTGACTGTTTTGAAACCATTCCTGTTTCTTTTTGTTTGTACCGTTTTGTCCCTGCTGAGCCTGATCTTTTCCTTTCCCAGAGTTACACACAATATATACCCTTGCCCATCAGTGACCTTGATTCATGGTTAAGAACACCTTCTATTTATGTTTTCGATTGCTCTGCAGCTGGAATGATTGTTAATTCCTTCATTGAGGTATTTGCTTGTGCTCTATCATAATTTCCTGGTAGTAATTATTTTCTGGTTTCTACTATATTATCATAGATCTTCTTACCTTCTTTTTTTGGCTTGTTTTGATTTTTGAATTGAATTTGGTTGATAGCTTCTTGACTCTGGCACTTCTAACTACCCTGGATCTGCACGAGATTGTATTCTTCTGGCTGCATGTGAAGCACATGAGACTCTTCCTCAAAGTGCTGAATTTCCTGCTGATGTGTTTACTTCTTGTCTTACTACACCTATCAAAATGGCATTGAGATGGTATAACTTCTAGCCATATATTTAGGATGTGTTTTCTTTTTTTCATTTTGGTAATGTTTGCCTTGTGGTGTCCATGCTGTAGATAAATCATGGAAATGAATCTTCGAGGCTTGTAAAAGTTTTTCATCTTTCCCTCTTTTTTCCATTTTTTGGGCTTTTGATTCTTACTCCACTTTTGCCTGTGTACTATTTTAAGAAGTAAACTGTATCACGTTCTGCTAATGTGTTAACTTGTATTACTACACCTATCAAAATGGCATTGAGATGGTAAAACTTCTAGACATGTATTTCGGGTCGTGTGTATTTTTCATTTGTGAAACCTTGGCCTTTTTCGGTATCAATGCTGTATATATATCATGATAATGCATTGAGATGATAATGCATCATTTCTTTTTGTTTTCTTTTGAAATTTAAAATTCAATGAGTAGTTACTGTCTTTAGAAAATGGTATTTATTGAGATTTGGAATGGCATGAGACGCTTTGTATAAAATGATGTGCTCGTCTGATGTATCAGTGGATATTAGCTGTAAATTGACTGTTGCTTGTCTCTGATCTGTACGGCTTCCCAAGAGCTGCTTAATAGTTCTTGTAAGGTTAAGGTAGTATTTTACCAATGTCTAGCTGATGGAAACACCTATCGGTTTGAGTGTACAAATAAATAGGCTAAAGATGTTTCCCTTCAATTTTCCTTTTGAGTTAGCTTTACCATGATTCTTTGTTTAGTTTTTACTGCTTCTGGATTTATTATAAAAGTGGTATTTACCTTGAACGTTCCATGGAGACCTTTCTAATTTTAAGATATTTAGTTATCTTGTGTAAAATGGGATTGCTAATCTTCTGATGGTTAACATCTCTTCTAGGTTTTGCACACGTTCTTTGCTTCGTGAGTCTCTTGATTGTTCGCTTATAGATAAAATTCCTGGCCGCCAAAATGACCGTAAAACCCTTCTAGGGGAGTTGAATTGGATTTTTACAGCAGTGACAGACACAATTGCTTGGAATGTCCTCCCTCATGGTAGTTCTTTTGAGTGTATTGATCAGCTTTGTGCATTCTTTCATGTAGCGCTTGTCTTTTGATCTGTTTTATGATCTCTTCTTTTTGTTATGCAGAGCCTTTCCGAAGACTGTTTAGACAGGATTTACTAGTTGCGAGTTTGTTCAGAAACTTTTTGTTGGCTGAGAGGATTATGCGCTCTGCAAATTGTTCTCCAGTTTCTTACCCAATGTTGCCACCAACTCATCAGCACCATATGTGGTACTACAGGGGATATTCAATAACTTCACTTTTTGTTTCTCAGTTCTTTTTAAAAAATTTCTTGTGTACTCCAGGGATGCATGGGACATGGCTGCTGAAATTTGCCTTTCTCAGCTTCCCACGTTGGTTGAAGATCCCAATGTGGAGTTTCAGGTGTGTTCTTCCCCCAAAGTCTTTTGCTAATTTAACTTCATTATCCTGGATTTTCCTGATGAATACTAGAGCCAGAGGAATTTTAGTAGTAGCAGGATGAGGTGGTGACTTTTAGTTCCTTGTGTTACCTTACTCAGAGTGTGCTTTTCTTTTGTTTCAGCCAAGTCCATTTTTTACCGAGCAGCTGACAGCTTTTGAGGTATGGCTTGACCATGGATCCGAGCATAAAAAGCCACCGGAGCAATTGCCTATCGTTCTTCAGGTGCTATAATTTGTAGTCCTTTTATCTTTCTTTGTTTATGGTGATTTTTGAATTTTGTTGGGTGTATGTTGAAACAATTTTACCATGTTATGTAAGTTTTAATATAATGACTGACCAGTTAATGATTGATATTTCAGGTTTTACTTAGTCAATGCCATAGATTCCGTGCACTGGTTCTTCTTGGAAGATTCCTTGATATGGGACCATGGGCTGTAGATCTGGTAGTTGTTCATGGGTGTACTCTTTGCTATTGCACTTTGTTGTGTCTCATTACATGCAGTTGTGTACTTACATAGTGGTTTCTGTTCTTTTAGGCACTTTCTGTTGGAATATTCCCTTACGTTCTGAAGCTGTTGCAAACAACCACACAAGAACTGTGTCAAATCCTTGTGTTCATATGGACAAAAATTTTGGCACTTGATAAGGTGTGACCACAGTTGCTTCAGAATTTTGGGATGAATATTTGTTTGCCTATGCAGTATAGCTACTTGTGCATACATTTTAACTTAATACACGTGTGCTAGTTCTCAAGTAACAGTTGTGTGCCTGCCTCTGAACCTGGCAATTAGGTGTCATTAAGTGCTATATTATATATTGTGGAAGCTTCTTTATAGTTGGTATGTGTGCGCTTAAAATTATTGTAGTGGTGCATATTCTAGTTTTCACTTCTTGTAGGTAGCCAAATGATAGCCTGCTATTGTGTTTTCTGACACCTAGAGATTGATATAGTTCACATATTCCATTTGATGTCCTACACTGGCAATATATTGTAGCATGTTCCTTTCACTGTATCAGTAATTTTGAAATTCTATCATCTTGGATTGCAGTCATGTCAGGTCGATCTGGTAAAAGATGGAGGTCATGTTTATTTCATTAGGTTTCTTAGTAGTGTGGAAGCATATCCTGAACAGCGAGCAATGGCTGCATTTGTTCTAGCTGTCATTGTGGATGGGCATAGACGGGGCCAGGAAGCCTGTATTGAGGCAGGGTTAATCCATGTGTGCTTGAAGCACCTTCACAGTTCCATGCAAAATGATGCACAAACTGAACCCTTGTTCGTTCAGTGGCTTTGTTTGTGTCTTGGAAAGCTGTGGGAGGAATTTACTGAGGCTCAAATAATAGGTTTGCAGGCAGATGCACCTTCAATATGTGCTTCTCTTCTTTCTGAGCCTCAGCCAGAGGTATATCTCCTAGCTAATTATCTATGTTGGTTATAAATGGGTAGTCTTTATTTTAGTTGTTATAGACATTTGTAATTTTAGGTGGTGTTTTATTTCAGGTTAGGGCTTCTGCAGTTTTTGCATTGGCTACCTTGCTTGATGTTGGGTTTGACTCACTTAGAGATGGTGTCGGAGGGGATGAAGAATGTGATGATGATGAAAAGAATAGAGCTGAGACTGTTGTTATTATTAAAAGCCTCTTGAATATTGTTTCCGATGGGAGCCCTCTTGTCCGAGCAGAAGTTGCCGTAGGTATGTGATAGTTATCTCATTCATATTTCATGTGTTGGGACTGAGAGTTGAATGAATATAGAAAAACTTGGCAGTATGAAACAAGATCAAAAGTTCCTATAGCTCTTGTAAATTGCCTGATGGTTTTTCTGTAATATTTTCCAAGTTCTGTATCAAATGTTGATGCCTTTCTTTGACTTGGCAGCTCTAACGCGGTTTGCTTTTGGACATAAGCAGCACCTCAAGTCAATTGCTGCTGCATATTGGAAACCTCAATCTAATTCCTTGTTGAATTCATTGCCTTTACTGGCTAATATAAATGGAAGTGGAAATATAGTTTCATCCCAGATAGGTCCTTTAACCCGAATTGGAAATGACAACTCTGCTGTAGTTCGGGATGGAAGGGTTTCTATCAGCAGTCCTCTTGCTACTGCTGGTGTCATGCACGGGTCTCCTTTGTCTGATGATTCATCTCAACATTCTGATTCTGGGATTTTGAATGATGGTAGTAGTAATGGGGTCATTCGTCATTTGAGGTCAAAACCTTTGGACCATACAATGTATTCACAGTGCGTACTGGCTATGTGTACTTTAGCCAAGGACCCATCTCCACGCATAGCAACTCTCGGCCGACGGGTTCTTTCCATTATTGGGATTCAACAAGTAACAAAATCTGTGAAGTCTGCTGGTAGCAGTGCTAGGCTTGGTGAGCCCACAACTACCTCACCAACTCCTAGTTTTGCTGGATTAGCTCGTTCTTCTTCATGGTTTGACATGAATGGAGGTAAGTATCATGTTCTCTGTTAATCCTGATAATGAGTATCCTAATCATTGTGTTCTTATTTCCTGTATATCTGCTTGACCTGATGCTTTCTTCATTCTATATTTACATTCAAGTTACACCATTTAATTTGGAGTTAATGCTGACAGGTCATCTCCCTTTAACGTTCAGAACTCCTCCTGTTAGCCCTCCTCGGCAAAAGTTTTTGACAGGAATGCGTAGAGTTTGCTCTTTAGAATTCAGGCCTCATCAGATGAATTCTCCGGACTCTGGATTAGCTGATCCACTTCTAGGGTCTTCTTCTGGGGTTTCTGAACGCAGTTTACTTCCACAGTCAACTATCTATAATTTTAGTTGTGGCCACTTCTCAAAGCCACTTCTTACTGCATCAGGTGATAGTGAAGAACTATTGGCCAGAAGAGAAGAGCAGGAGAGATTTGCACTGGAGCGTATTGCTAAATGCCAGCACTCGTGTATGTGTTTTAACTAATTTGTTTTTTGTTCTCTTCATTCTATTCTCATCCTTTTTTGCTTTGTAACTAGTATCTCGTTTTAACTAATTTGTTTTTTTATTCGTTTTGTACTATTCTCATGCTTTTTTTGCTTTGTAACTAATAAGTATCTCATTTTCTTTGCTAGCTGTTAGCAAACTTAACAATAATAGTCAAATTGCTAGTTGGGATACAAGATTTGAGACAGGTACAAGAACAGCCTTGCTGCAACCTTTCTCTCCTATTGTTATCGCAGCAGATGAGAATGAACGGATCAGGTATGTCATTCATGTTTTAATGGATCTTAGAGCGAGCTGTTCCAGTGTTGAATGTTAACTGATTTGATATTATAACGTGTATGAGTATTAAATGGCAATGATCTATATGTTGGTGAGCTGTAATCTTTGGCAGTGTATTACGTTATACCCCACAAATGCATAAATTTGAACCTTTTTAACATAGATTTATAAAACAAAAATTAACAAGGTGGCATGTTGTGATTCACATTGACATTGTGTCCATCAGATATAAACTCTTAAGAAGATTATATTTTCTGTTTTTTAAGTTCTGATATTTTCGGGGACTGTGTAATTTGTTTCTGCATGTGTCATATCTTTTCTTACTAAAAGGTGGACAGCGTTGCTGGACTGGGTTAGCTGAGTTTGGAGCTGTTTGTTATATTTTTGGTTTTCTAATACTTTCACAATTTATTTCTGTGAGCATATTAATTGTTTGGTTTTTCTTTTCAGGGTATGGAATTATGAGGAAGCCACCCTCCTCAATGGTTTTGATAATCATGATTTTCCAGAGAAAGGAATTTCTAAACTTTGTCTTTTGAATGAGCTTGATGAAAGCTTGTTGCTTGTTGCTTCATGTAATTTCCTTCCTTTCCACCTTTTGTTTTTCAATTTCCTTTTTTTTAAAGTTGATTTAGGGCCTGATTTCATGCAGGTGATGGAAATATCCGGATTTGGAAAGATTATACAGTTAGGGGCAAGCAGAAACTTGTCACTGCATTTTCTTCAATTCAAGGTCATAAACCTGGTGTGAGGAGTTTGAGTGCTGTTGTGGACTGGCAGCAGCAGTCTGGATATCTTGTACGTATTTTTGTAAAATTTCATCTCTAAAAAGGTTTTCCTTATTTATAATTTGATGCCTAATATACTAATCTTCATTGCTCTGATGTCATATGACTAGTACACATCTGGAGAGATATCATCCATCATGCTCTGGGACCTGGATAAGGAGCAGCTTGTTAATTCAATACCATCATCCTCTGATTGCAGTGTCTCAACATTGGTGAGTCGTCAATCTTAAGTTTTTGGTTAAGTAATCAGATTGAGCATGCTAGTGGCAATAGGTACTTATCAAAGAATTCATCTTGTAGAAGGTACAACTTTGGAGAACTTACTGCATAGTGCATATTACCATCCAGTTGGCAAATAAGAAGCATGTTCTAATAGAATATGTTCTATTTGTATGGATGCTTTCCTGCATATTAAGTTAACTGGACCAAATATTAGCAGAGTTCTCTTTTTTTTTTAATAGAAGATTAGGCCTCATTAAAAACCCCCTTGAAACCCTCCATGTTATATAAGTAACATGAAGGACGTAGGAAGGAGGAAAAGAGTGCCTAAAATTTTATTAATAATAGCAATAGTACATATGCAGACCCGAAACTGACTGCTAAAACTCCAACAGAAATGACATACGACTTAACTCAAAACACCTTACAACACAGGAAATGCCATTTCCTACATTCAACTCAACCAACAAAAATAAAAAATCACCCTATCCCATCTTTAGCTAATTTGTCAGCTTCCTAGTTCGCCGCCCTCAAAATATGCCTAATAATAATATCCTTCCCTACCATAAGCGGGAATATGTCCTTTACCAAGGAATGAAACAAAGGGGTGCATAAACCCGGATTCTTGATCCACTTCAGAGCAATACTTGAATCAGATTCTAGAATAAACCGCTGATTAGGACTGACACCTAAATCATCCAAAAGACAGCCCCCTCTTAATCGCCAAGAGCTCTGCCATGATAGGAGGGCCACCCCAACACTTTCAGAGAACCACTTGAGCAGCACACCAGTACTGTCCCTTATCAGACCACCAATACCTCCTTTAACCCATCCAATAACCATTGCTCCATCAACATTTAACTTTAAAAAACCGTCCGGGGGAGGAATCCAACAAGTTGGATGAGTACGAACCTTTCTCTGGCTTCCCATCGAATCAGCAAGTTTTAAGTCGCCTACTAGGGAGTCTAAAGGGATCAGAACATCGTTAAACCTTGCAACAAACCATGAGGCTATTCTAAATCAAACAATAAAGGACAGCCTAACCACATCCAGCTTCCCTTTCTGAAAAATAACCTCATTCCTGCACTTCCGCACTGACCACATCACCGCCCTTGGAATAAACTTCCATATCAAAGAGTTAGGCATTAAATCATCCCACAAAATGATAAAGTCAATGATGTGCTTTGGAATCACCAAAGACACATTCCAAATTTTCAAAAAAGTAGACCGTAGACCCCATACAACCTCACAATGCAGAAATAAATGTGGAACTGTTTCCACCTCCCTACCACACAATGAACATAAAGGATCATCAATCTCTGTCACACCTAGCTTCAATAATTCCTCTTTAACCGGCACTCTCTGATGAGCTAACTGCCAAACAAAAGTTTCTATCCGTGGAGGTGCAATCCCTACCAAAATATGCCTCTCCCAAGTCTCATGATTCTGCTCAATACCAACTTGGTCAAAAAAAGTATTGATACAAGATTTAGCTGTAAAACAGCCCTCACCATTCCCAGACCAGATCCAACAATCATCCTCGGCAGAGATATAGAGATATTATTCAGCATAGAAATCAACTGAAGCCACTGTTCAATTTCCCAATCCGCCAAATTTCTTCTCATTTGGATGTCTCACACCCAACCAGAGGCATTATTCACCCTAAACTCCATCACTTTACCCGATTTATTGCTAGACAGAACATAAAGTCGAGGAAACAAATCTTTCAAGGGTACTTATCCCAACCAAATGTCATTCCAGAATTCCACAGATTTCCCATTCCCCGTCTTCAAACGCATATTCCTCCTAAGACAATCCCCAAAACCATCATTGGTAAAGAATTTTTTGACATCCCCTTTCCAAATCCACGAAGCACGAGCTGAGCAAGAATTCCCCATCATAATGGAATTCGGATCCAAGTTGTAAACTGCACATCTTCCACCTTCTTCCACCAAGACTTCTTTTCTGATGCAAACTTCCATACCCATTTCCCCAGTAAAGCTCTATTCAATAATGATAAATTTGGAATCCCTAGACCCCCCAATCTTTTTGGTTTGCTGACCGACTTCCAATTAACCCAGTGGATTTTTTTGCTATCTGTCGAACCCCCCAAAGAAATGAAGCCATAATAGAGTTGAGATTTTGTAGCACAGAAACAGAAATTCTGAACATAGAAAGGAAATAAACTAGGAGAGAGCACAACACCGATTTTACCATCACCACCCTTCCTGCTAATGACAAGGAATTAGCCATCCATCCACTCAACTTAGCATGAAATCTCGCCACTATTGGCTCCCACATAGCAGCCGAATTCCTCTCATATCCCAAAGGTAAACCTAAATATTCTGCGGAAAATGGCCTACCGAACAGCCGATATCATTTGCCCAAGTAACTAACTCCCCATCCTCAACATTAATACCATAAATCCTGCTCTTGACTAAGTTTATCTTCAACCCCACCAATAGCTCATATATTAATAACACTCTTCTAACATTTCTCAAATCACGGATAGAACCTTTACTAAAAACTATAAGATCATCCGCAAATTGCAAATGCGATAACTTGAAAGGCCGATCATGAACACCTAAATCGAAACCCGAGAACAGTCCCATATCCACTGCTCTAGTAAGCAACAAATGCAATAACTCAGCAGCCAAATTAAACAGCAGAGGCGAAAGCGAACATCCCTGTCTAAGTCCCCTAGCTGTATGAAATTTCTCCGTAGGAGACCTATTTACTAGGACCGAAATGGAAGCTGATGACATACACTGATATATCCAAGACCGCCACTTATCACCAAACCCCATTTTACTCATTATAATCATCAAAATTGACCAATCAACCGAATCATAGGCTCTCTTAAAATCCACCTTGAAGACTACGCCCTTCAATCCTTTTTTCCTCCAAAAGTCAATACTTTCGTTTGCAATAAACGAGCAGTCCAATATATTCTTCCTGGAATGAACGTAAATTGAGACGGACTCATTATCTCGTTAATGCATAAACTCAAACGTCTAGCTAGGACTTTTGAAAGAATTTTATATAACCCTCCTACTAGGCTAATTAGCCTGAAATCTTCCAACCCCTCCGGATTTGCCTTCTTAGGAATAAGGGAAATAAAGGAATGATTCACCTCCGAATCCCACTCCTTCCCCACGTAGAACTCCTTAAAAAACAACATCACATCATCTTTCAAAATATTCCAAAACTTTTTAAAGAACCCTAAATTCAGACCATCCGAACCCGGAGCTTTGTTGCTATCCGAATGAACAATAACATCCCATACTTCCTCTTCAGAAAATGGTCTCTCCAATGCTGCACACTGCCCTTCCGAAAGTTTAAGAAAATCCAGACTCAAATCCTCAACCTCCAAAGTGTTCTTTTGATTAAACAACCCCTTGAAAAACTCCACCACTGAACCTTTAATTAAACTAGGATCTTATGTGACTTCATTATCCACCTTGAGGGATTTAATGCAATTCATTCTCCTTCTAACTGTTGCACTATGATGGAAAAATCTAGTATTCCTGTCTCCTTCCAGACTCCATTTCAATCTAGACTTTTGCAACCACATCGATTCTTCTTTCTTTTGCAGCTCCCACAATTCATTCTTTGCTTCAACTATGGATTTCATTGATGCCCTAGGAAGCCCTTGTTGCAATTTCATTTCCATTTCCTGAATTTTTTTCTCCAATGTACTGATTTTACCTGGCAACTGTAAATAACCCCTCCTAGACCATTTCTTAGCCACTTTCTTCACCCAGTTAAGAACTTTGGCAATGGGCGACGAATTCTCCTCTTTACCAAATTTGAGCAGCTCCTTCTTCATCATCTCACTAAACCCATCCTCCAACACATAATTAAACAATCGAAACGGTTTCGGACCCTAATTACATTCCCTATTCTCCAACAAAATAATATTATGGTCAGAAACAAACATTGACTGCAAAGTTTGGCTAATTTTGGGAAAAAAAGAAAAATAACTCTGCTCAACCAAAAACCTATCCAGTCTCTCAAAAGTGGGAGCATCTCTATTATTACACCACGTAAACTGACCTCCAAATAAAGGCAAATCAATTAAATTCGCCTTACTAACAAAATCTCTAAAAATGTTCACTGATACCCGATTCACTTCACCTCCAAGTCTCTCTTCCTGAGACAATACAACATTGAAATCTCCACCTAAACACACTGGACAGTCAACCTGTTCCAGAAAGGATACTAATTCCCTAAAAAACAACTCCTCAGCATCTACACTCGGACTATAGACATTTATGAAACAACACTTGTCTGGTAATCCATCCAACAACCCCTTTAACGCCACAAACCTGTTATGAATAATCTCTTCCTCGACCACAAATGCCTTCTGATTCCACAACGTTATTAAACCACCAGCAGTACCTACAGCAGGAACTGATACCGAACCAGTAAGAATTTTACCTCCCATTTTCCTTACTAATAAAGGACTGACAGCTTCCAATTTAGATTCTTGTAAAAATACCATTGTAGGCTTTTTCACCTCTACAAATCTCCTAATAACTCGCGCTTTCACCTTCCTACCCAAACCCCTAACATTCCAACACATAATGGATCACTCTACCATCATAATTATGTCATAACCATATTCCCATATTCCTACTACCAACCTTCAATTCTCTCTGCCCTTTACCAGAGGAACAACTTTGGTCAAGAAATCCTTCTCTTCTCCTTTAAACTTAACCCCCAACATTTTGGACACATTCCAACATTCCACCCCCTAGCATAAACCATTTTATAAAAACCTCTCTCAACATTGCTCACCGACACACTCCTCCCAGAAGGTCGTCGCTGGACCGGTGTAACAGACCCAGTCTGCATAACTAGTTCGGCCTGTGTAACAATTTTGAATCTGCAGACGTATTACCATTTCTATTTGCTGTTAGACTACCTGCTCAGGCCCATACACCTCTAACCTTCCCAAGTTGGAATTAAGCTCATCATCTTGTACAACTTTATCTAACCTTTTGTCTCCCTTCAGAAAAAACTCCTGACACTTTCCGTTGATAGTGAACCTCACCTAGTACTGTCCCTTCAGCACAAAAGTTAACATCTAAAATATTATTACCTTCTCCATTTTCTTTCAAATTTCCATCGTTAAGCGTGTCACCCCCTTGAGAAGCACTAGAACCCATGCTTTTACCCTATTCAGAGGGTATGACATCGTCTGGAAATTCAACTGCTCTTGCAGCCCACCTCGCTCCTCCCCTAGGTTCCCTTCCGACGAGTTCTCCACCCAAGGATCAACTGTTCCTTCCACAGAACCATCTTCATCAACCCCATCTTCAAGCTAAGGAAAGAAATCTTCACTGCCTTCTACCTTAATCTTAATAACAAAAGACCTTCCATAAGTATTAATGGTGACATGGGAAGGAATATCAAACGGGCTCTCAACCCTTAACAACATGTGAACCATCCTGTAATCCACTCTTTGAGCTGTCTGCCCTTGAATCTTCACTAACCTGCCCCATCTTGAAGCCAAAACTGGAAAAAAAAGAAACTGACCAGCAATTTAATGGGACACCGATCATGGATACTGCACAGTAAGGCAAAGGAACACATTTCTCTTCCATAACAGGCTCCAGCCTTTCAAACCAGAAGGACAATGCCTCCCACTTATCTTCAACCGCTGCATCTTTCTCCTCCATTGACTGGAATACTATCAAACATGCATTCTTCGCATATTCCCACCTTACTATCTTGACATTAATTCCTTCATTTCTTAATGCCCGCTGCACAAATTCAACTTCAAAAATCGCTTTACAAATACCTGTTAAGGACGATCTCAGCCACGACCTTTCCTCCATTGGAATAAAGACTTCCAAAGGCTTCTTCTCCTCCCTCTTATCTCCAAAACTACTGACTTGCTGACCCTCAAACCTTTTCACTCCCACTATCGTATCCTTATATGATCTACCATCATGAAACTTGTTCAACAGCTCCTTCTTCCCGACATCCACTGCTTGATAAGATAATCTTTTCCTTTTCGAAACCTCCAAAACTACATCACCAGGCTCCGCGACACTATTACGATTCAAGTTCCTCGGAAAACTACTCCTCTGATACTTCGCCGTCGACACCATAATTCTCCTCCCATCAACCAATACATTGTTCATCTTATTCTTTGCATTAAGCAAATCCTCCTTGCTTGCGAAGTGCACAAAAGCAAAAGTCTTATCCTTATAGTTAGGTCTCCTGTTAACAAACGGAATGAACACCTTAATCACCTTGCCATGCATACTAAAACGATCCCATAATACACTTCTATGCACTCTCCTGCTCAGATTGTCTACGAATGCTACCCACGATCCTCCTTCAGGCACCGCTCTTCCTCTGCTAGAAGACTCAATACCTTTCAGCTCCTCGTTCACTCTCTCACTAACTTTCACACATTTTTTTAATTTATAATTTAGCAGAGTTCTCTTGAATTGTCTCCTAAAGGAGGTTATTTCTTTTTTCCCCGTTATATGTTAGATTGCACAAGTCATATACCTTTGCATTTAGTTTAAGGTGTTTCTAAAGTTTGATGAGTTCAAGAAGGTAGTTGTTGTGTAACTTTTTTGTTTGTTGGTTTATATTTCATTTTGGTTTGTCTGTCACGTGCCTACAAGGAGTGGGCAATTGCATCCCATTCTTGCTGTACAAAAAAAGTCGTATGTGATTTTCCTTACTGTTACAGGCTTCTTCTCAAGTTCATGCCGGTCAATTTGCAGCTGGTTTTGTGGATGGTTCGGTCAGATTATATGATATTCGGACGCCTGACGTGTAAGCACTCTGTAATGAATTACTCTATTTTTTAGAAGATAATGAACTGCATTTTTCTGAGTTTTTACCTGTTTATGATATCTTTTTGAGCTTTGAATTAATGTTGACTTTCGTCAGTTGATTCAACTTTCCTTATAAATTGGTTCCTGTGACCTTGACTGTTTTAAACAACTATAGTCTCCTATCCCATAAGTAACTTTGTCAACTAATGTATGTGGACTATTTTTTTCGATTAGTTTATTCCTATTAATTTATTCACCCACCAGTTGGTACTATTCAATTGATATTGCTCGTAATCTTTTGGTCCGTTCTATTACTTGCTGCTCTCTCCTGATCTCATCCGAGTTTACCCATCTGACTCAGATTGTTGTTATAATGTTTTAGGTTGGTTTGTTCAACTAGACCACATACCCAGCAAGTCGAAAGAGTTGTGGGTATTGGCTTTCAACCAGGACTGGATCAAGGAAAGGTAAGCACCCAGCTCAGTCCTTGCGTTTGGTAAATGGGGATTTGTTCAAATATTGTTATCGTCGTCCTTTTGGATCGAGCTTGATGATACTTTGACATTGTTTTTCAGATTGTTAGTGCATCCCAGGCTGGTGATATTCAGTTCCTTGATATTAGAAATCAAAGAGATACTTATCTCACCATTGATGCGCACAGAGGCTCACTTACTGCTCTAGCTGTTCATAGACATGCTCCTATAATCGCCAGTGGCTCAGCAAAACAGCTAATCAAAGTCTTCAGTCTAGAAGGCGAACAACTAGGCATCATTCGGTACCAACATACCTTCATGGCCCAGAAGATTGGTTCTGTGAGCTGCCTTACCTTCCACCCCTACCAAGTATTACTTGCTGCTGGTGCGGCCGATGCCTGTGTTTCTATCTATGCCGATGACAATTCTCAGACAAGATGAATATAAATTCTTACCCAACTTCATGATTTCGGGAGGAATTGCACGGCAGACGAAAACAATACCAGCACAATTTAGGGAAGTCGAGGTCAACGTTAAACCTGTAAAACGCTGCTGCCACATTTACAATGCCACTCTGGGTATTCCTGGAAATTCAGGGGTGGGGTTGGGGTGCAATATGCTGATTTTAATGCTATTTATATAGAGGGATATATAATATATTCATTAGCCTCCGATCTCACATGTATGGGGGGGAAATCCTATCCTGCAGGCTTTGGGGAATAATTTGTTATTATAGGGTGAATGCATGTAAATAGGTTTTCCATTATTGTTTCATCTTTCTCCAGTTTGGTCATTGTTACATCTCTTTCTTTTCATTTTATTGTCAAATTATTGAAAGCTAAAAATTTGCATTACCATAATTTACGTATCGCATAGATTAGTTATGGGCTTAACCCTCCAGAGTTTTTCAAATTTAGATTATAATGTGTTCAAGTATTTGACGAAGTAGAAAATGAGGTGTAGTCATCCTATCTTTGTAACTTTCACTGTTTATGCCTGTAGGAATAATTAGAAAGTAATTTTGGATATAGATGCTGAATTTTAAGATATACGAGATACTATATATTTATCTCTCTTGTAATTTTTACATTTATAATAAAGTATTATTTCTTCATTTGTAAGATAGACAAATTAAGTCATATAAAAACTTTTTTTTTATATATCTTATTCTATGTTAATATCAAAATGAATTTGAGATTACTCGTTGAGCACCGGCTATGAAGCTCTATAAAGATAAAGAAAAGTCTTACATAGGTGGCAATAGGCAAACAAAAGAGATGACGTATAGTAGAACATATTTGCATGTAATTAAATTTATATCCACATACACAGCAAATTTCCGTAACCATAACCTTGTGATTTGACGTATTCAAAGCAATTCATGAGTCAAATACCAAATCCCGTTTATAGAAAAGAAAAAAAATTCCACAATCATTCCAAATCACAAATATGTCGTAAATGTTTCTTATCACGACAAGATGAATACAATTATACACACCGCCGGTATCCTATAACCACCGCACGCTAAATTTAGCGAGGAGGAGACAATTCTCACCAGACCACAGCATCATTAGATTATTATTTTAACTTCAGTTTATCTGCCTGTTTGGGCGGGTGGGAGGAGAACAAAAACATAAAAGGAGTCAATTCTTGTCAGATAATACTAGTTCTCTTTGTTCATACAAGAGAAAATGGTTAACTCTAATTCGTATCGTATTATGTGAAGCCATTGAAACAAACATTTCATGGCCGGTAAGTTTCCTTCGAAACAAAAGCAATGATCAGCTAATGAATTTTGCATATCTAATTCTCAATCTCGTACCAAATTCTCTATAGAATTTTGTTTCCATTTTTTTCGATATCTAATGATAGATGCGACGGGAGAAGAGCTGCCAAAGCCAGAATCAGAAACGGCATCTCCGGCCAGTGTCAACGCGGCGGAGAGTGACCCCATCGTGGTGATCGATAAACAGTTCATTGTCCCAAACCCCGTGGAACTGAAAATACAACATACGATATTCACAGTTGCTGAAAATTACTTCGACATCACCGACGATAATGGCAACCCTGTTTTCAAGGTCCGAGATAAGTTGTTCAGCTTTCCTAATCGTCGCGTTATGTTTGACGCCGATGGACGTCCTCTCGTTTCTCTGAGACAAAAGGTAATTTTGCTACCCATATTTGTTTTCCCGAGAAAATAATGAAAATATATTTGAAGTAAAATTAATTTGATGTATGGTGGGGGGGGGGGGTTAGATATTTAGTGTTCGTAGGAGGTGGAAAGTATTCAGAGGGGAAAGCGAGAAATCGAGTGATTTTCTGTTCAGCGTGAGGAAATCGTCATTGATACTGTTGAGGATGAAAACGAGGATGGCGACGTCGTTAGATGTGTTCTTGGCATCCAATACCAGTGAAATTCTGCCTGACTTCAGAATCAAAGAGAACTGGCATGACAGCAGCTGCACTGTTCTCCGTGGTGATACCACAATTGCTCAGGTGATACCTTTTTATTCATCTGCCATTTTACAAGGTATTAGGCAAAATCGATTAAATGCGAGTGTTGGAAAATTTTATTTTATTTGACATGAGATGATTGTTATGGTGTCTGAAAAATAGCTGAAATCATTTGACGTCTTCCCCATATTTTATGTATCTGGGATGTTCAGACTAATAAAGTAGCAAAATAAAGGATGTACTGTAATCGTCGCGTCTTGAAAGATATATTATGCTTTCGACGTTCTTGATGTCCTGTGTTTGAGTATAAAAATTGTTGCGGAAGACGGCTATCGGATAGAGCAAAATCGCAACTGATAATTTGAGAAAATAAAGATAAAAAAGACAAAATTTACGTGAAAAACCCCTAAATAATATAGGGTAAAAACCACGGGCAACGGTAGAAGAATTTCACTATGAGAAAATAGGAATTACAACTTCTCTCGATCGACTAAGGAGAAAACAATGATAATTCTCTCTTGATAAAAAGGAGAAAACAACTCTCAAGAAACTCTCTAATATTCTCTCTAGTATTTGAAGAAAGCTGGAATGCTTTGGGATGATTTTGAAGCTAAATGAGCTAGGGTATTTATAGTTGAAGCTCTAAGGACTAATTTGTAAATACCCTAAATTACAATGGCTAAAATTATGATTTTATCATTGGCCAAAATTCAACAAAAACTCAACCTTTTTGACAAATTTTTTCGGTGGAATTTTTTTATTAGCACCTTTCGGTGCTTGCCAAGACTTTTCAACAATCTCCACTTGAAGATTTGATTGGAACAATCATATCTTCACACCATTCTTTCTACCTTGTACCTTCATGTTGCTTACGTTTCTGACAGGCCACAGGAGGATCGACACCAGGTAAATTTATCAGCATTGATTGCCTTCGTCATGAAATCTGCTATGTTGTCTTTGGTATGGATCTTCTGTATGTCTACCGCTCCTTCTTCCACCTTTTCACGAATGAAGTGGTACTCGTATGTGTTTTGTCCTTGAATGAAATGCTAGATTCCTTGCTAGATGCAAGGCGCTTTGACTATCACAAAATAGAGAGACATACTCTTGATTATGCCCAAGCTCCTCCAACAACATCTTCAACCAAATTGCTTCTTTACTAGCTTGTGTAGCTGCTACATATTCTGCCTCTGTTGTGGATGTAGCCACAACTGATTGCAACTTAGAACACAGTTTACAGCTCCATCAGCAACTTTGAACACATACCCTGTAATAGATTTGCTTTTATCCAAACCCCCTGCATAGTCAGAATCTACATACCCATTGATTAGTAAATTTGATCCTCCGTAATATAATGCAACATTTGAGGTCCCTTTGATGTATCTCAGGATCCTCTTTATTGTATTCCAATGCTCTATGCCTGGATTCGCCATGTACCGACTAACCACTCCCACTGCTTGTGCAATGTCTGGTCTTGTGCATATCATAGCGAACATTAAACTTCTCACTGCTGATGCATACGGTACTCGAGACATCTCCATCCTCTCTTCTTCACTACTAGGACTCATACTGGAGGATAACTTTAAGTTAATAGGAAGAGGGGTAGAAATTGGCTTACAATCTTGCATGTTGAATCGTGACAAGATCTTCTTCAAGTAATTCTTTTGTGAAAGCCAAATCTTCCTATTACTTATGTCTCGGTGAATTTGCATCCCTAGAATCTTGTTTGCTGATACCAAGTCCTTCATTTCAAATTCCCTAGCCAGTTGTGCCTTCAATTCTTCAATATGATCTTTGTTGGGTCCTGCAACCAACATGTCATCTACATACAACAGCAATATAACAAAATCGTTATCACCATACCTCTTGAAATAAGCACAAGGGTATGCGTTAAGTCTGTTGTATCCAATGCACATATTGAATGAATCAAATCTCTTATACCAACACCTCGGCGCCTGCTTTAGACCGTACAGAGATTTGTTCAACTTGCAAACTAAGTTATTCTTTTCTTTTTCTTCAAAACCTTCAGGCTGGAGCATGTAAATATCTTCTTCAAGATTTCCATGAAGAAAAGCTGTTTTAACATCTAGTTGCTCTAGATGTAAGTTCAATGTAGCACATTGCCAAAACTACTCGAACTGTTGTTAGTCGAACCACAGGAGAAAATATTTCATTAAAATCAATACATTCTTTTTGAGCATATCCTTTGACCACCAGTCTTACACGATACCTCTCTACTTGATCGTCACCATTTCGCTTGATTTTGAAGACCCATTTGTTACCAATTGACTTCCTTCCTTGTGGTAGTGGCACAAGGTCACATGTATTATTCTTATGAAGGGCTTCAATTTCTTCTTGCATCGCCATCATCCATAGTGAAGCATCTGATCTGTTTATTGCCTCCTGGTATGTTGATGGCTCACCGTCCTCTGTTAAAAGGCAGTATGCAATATTACCTTCTATAACATAATCTGAGTGCCAATTGGGATGTCTTCTCACACGATCTGATTGACGAGTTGTTGGAGCTTCAGAACTCTCTGGTTCTTGTTCATCATGTGTTGGTTCTGCTTCAGAAGAATCTCCTTGTTCAAACTCTTTTTCCACATGTATCTGCGAAGTCTCTGACTTTTTAGCGCTACCATCTTCTTCTTTTCTTTGTAGCTTATCTTCTACAAAGATAACATCCCTGCTAATGATCACTTTGCGGGCAGTGGGATCCCACAAGCGATACCCCTTTACTCCATCAGCATACCCCAAGAATTTGCATTTTCTGGATTTTGGATCCAACTTTGAAATTTCTTGGGAGTTGTACATCACGTACACTATACTTCCAAATACATGGAGGTTTGAATAATCAGTTGGTTTACCAGTCCACATCTCCATTAGTGTCTTCAGCTCTATTGCAGTTGATGGAGCTCGATTCACCAAATAACAGGCGGTATTGACTGCTTCTGCCCAGAATGATTTTTCTAGGCATGCATCCCTCAACATTGCTCTTGTTCTTTCTAACAAGGTTCTGTTCATCCGCTCTGCCACTCCATTTTGTTGAGGAGTGTTCGCCACTGTGAACTGTCTTTTGATGCCTTCTTTCCTGCAAAAGTCATCAAATTCTTCACTTATGTATTATCCTCCATTATCTGTTCTGAAACACTTGATTTTATCTCTAGAATCAAGTTCCACCCGTGCTTTGAAGTTTTTGAAAGTTGAAAACACATCGGACTTCTTCTTAATAGGGTACACCCAACATCTCCTGGAGTAGTCATTAATAAATGAGACAAAATATTTTGCTCCGCCTAGGGATGTAACTGGTGCTTTCCATATGTCAGAGTGAACCAGTTCTAGAACACTTTTGCCTCTAGAATTTGATGTGTTGAATTTCAACCGGTGCTGCTTACTTGTTATGCAATGCTCACATAAAGTAAGTGATACATTTGTTAAGCCTGGAAGTAGTTTTTGCTCCACAAGGACTTTCATTCCTTGTTCTAACATGTGTCCAAGTTTCTGATGCCATAGTATTGCAGAATTGAACTACATGAGGCAACAGAGGCTTCTGCTTCTAGCAAAGTTTCTCCCTTCAACATGTATAAGTTTGCAGCTATCTTTTTGCCTTTCAGCACCACAAGCGCTCCACGAAACACCTTCATGATTCCTTTCTGTGTTTCAATCTTGCTTGCATTATTATCCAACAATCCGTAGGATAATAAATTTTTCTTCAGGCCTTTCATGTGTCTCACATCTCGAACAATTTTAATTGTTTCATCATACATCTTCAATTTGATGGTCCCCACGCCAACGATCTCTAAGGCATGATCATTGCAACTATACACAGATCCTCCTGAGACAGGTTCATATTGATGAAACCATTCTCTTCTTGAGGTCATGTGATATTTTGCTCCTGAATCAATGAGCCATATATCTGCAAATCTTTTTCTTCCTTCCACGGTGGTTGACGCTTCACAGCATAGAGCATCTCCATCATCTGAAGTGTTTGCAGTATTACCTCGTGGATTGGAGTTTTTATTTAGACTCCAACAATCCTTCTTCAAGTGACCCTTCTTTCCACAGTTGTAGCACTTTAAATTCTTATTGCTCCTCGACTTCGATCTACCATGTTTGTGACTGCAGCTTTGGTCACGTTCTGTTGATCTCCCTCTCATCGTTGTCAATGCTTCTGCTTGTTGCAGATTTACTTGTCTGTCTTCCTTGTTCTTGCGCCGATTTTCTTCTTGGAGAACAGCAGCTGCAACGTCATCGAAGACTAGACTAGTGACATTATTGTTTGTCAAGTTGATGATGAGTTGATCATACGAATCAGGTAGACTTTGAAGTAGAAGTTCAGCACGTTCTTGTTCTCCTATTGTACATCTTAAGGATGTAAGCTGAGAAAATAATGTGTTCAGTGTGTTTAAGTGCTCCGTCACTGAAGTAGATTCTGGCATACGGAGAGTGTACAATTTCCTCCTAAGGAAAATTTTATTGTGCAACGATGTGACCTCGTACAATTTGGTGAGATGATCACATATCTCCTTAGCTGTCTTCTTTTCCTCGATGCTTGACAATACTTCATCTGCTAATGCTAGATGAAAGTTTGCCATAGCATTCCCGTCCATTTCGATCAATTTGTTGTCATCTGTAAAATCTACCGGCCTTTCACTGATAGCTGCTAGACATCCATCTTTCCTCAGGATGACCTTCATCTTTAATTTCCACAATGATAAATTTCTCCCATTAAATTTTTCAATATCAAATTTCGTTGCCATATCTTTTATTACGGATAGCTCTCACTATTTCACTATCGTGAATAGTTCTCTGGAACCTTCAAAGAATGGGTAATACCTTCTTACTTTCTTATGTTGGAGGATCCACCTTTTGGTGGCAACCACAAAGACAATAAGCATATATTACATACTCTAATCTAGCTCTGATACCAATTGTTGCGGAAGACGGCTATCGATTAGAGAAAAATCGCAACTGATAATTTGAGAAAATAAAAAAAAGATAAAGAAGACATAAAATTTACGTGGAAAACCCCTAAATAATATAGGGTAAAAATCACGGGCAACGGTAGAAGAATTTCACTATGAGAAAATAGAAATTACAACTTCTCTCGAACGACCAAGGAGAAAACAATGATAATTCTCTCTTGATAAAAAGGAGAAAACAACTC